CTCTACGAAAAATAATATTCACGTTCTCACTGCGGTGATTTTTAAAGTTTACAAACAAAGGCTTTGAAAAGTTTATCTATCCTATGACGTAGAGTGTGGTTCTACCTGGCTTTCCAAACTGACGGTTCCTTTTATTTGTTAAACAAGTCTTGTTATTTAATTGTTCGAGTTATTTGCTGATTTTTCCACCTAGTTAAGATATACGCCCTGTTACCATACTAAATTAAAATGTGGGATAAGATCGTAAAATAAAAATGCCGGTACACATACCTTCTGGATCTGAGAAACATTTGACAAATAGTAGATAGGGGAAGGGAGGAGTAAGAGTCCTGCCCCAGCCCACCCGTCCTACTAGCAAAATTTCAGCTAGCAGATTGTCAAAATAGAATCTCATGTTATCAGTTTTCGTTCGCCATTATGGCAGTCTCTCTGCCAAGCTCACAAGAAGACGGGAAATACACCATCAATATTATCAACTCCAAGATTGAAACCCTAGTAATTGGTGATGGAAACGTTGTGAATAACTATTGTCGATGTCTTGAGTATCCTGAGCATTCTGCAGGTTCTCGATCAGGAAGAAAAACGACTCGAAGGACGGCCACTTACCACGATGGAGGGGAAAGACGCAGAATTAAACGCAAACAAACGAAGTTAAGGTTCCCCCAGCGCAAATATATAGGCGATTCTAAGTTTCCCTCGAAAAACATTTCGGACGAAAGCGATGAAGATTCTTCTTACGGTCACTGTGGACCAGAAATATTTCCTTCGGTTTCAGGGGAACGGGACTGTGCATTTGAAAGATCGATAAAGCGATTTCACATCATTTTGAACAGACTTCATCCGTTACGGGACAGTGGCAAATTTGAGGATTTTACCAGCGTCGCAGATGGTATGCTGATGAGTAGCAAAGGGGATTTAGAGCTGGAACTCTTAATCCTTCTCGAGAAGAGCGTGATTGTCAGTTACCAAAATGACTTGGAGAACGCGGAATCCATGGTACTAGAGGTGTTAAGTAAGTTGAAGAATTCTGAAACTAAAGTTAAAATGAGGGACTATCTGGTGACCATGGCCCACGTTTACTTGACTGGAACTTACCGACGGCAGTACAAGCATGGGAAAGCGGATTCCACCATAGCTGTTGCAGAACAAGTATTACCAAAATCACAAAATGAAACTGCTCGTTTCGTTAAGGCACTGATACTCTATGAGATGGCTGGCAATTTGACTAAATATATAACTTCTGTTCCACTTCATCTTTCTGCACGCAAAAAGCTCGTGGAACGTTCGAAGCACTACATGAGGCAGTGCATAGATCTGAGCATAGAGCTTGATGGTGGCAGCCTATACATTAAAAAACATCACTTTGCGCTGCTCAAGCTCGCCTCACTAGATCTAAATTGTAGCACATGAGCTTACATGAGCAGCTCGAGAACAACTTACAAGTGATAAATGCGTTGCAGATGCCCAAACTTGCCTTCAAGCGATTCAAGAAAAATATGACGACGAGATGAGCGGAGGGCAGAAAATGCTGTTCTTAGGGGCCAAGTCAGACCTCAATTATAGGTTGGGTGATCTTGAGACAGCGCAGAGCGAAGCCAGTCAAGCATTGTCCTTAGCTGAAACATTTGGATTCAATCTAGAAATCATTCCCATCCGGGAGAAACTAGAGGATATCTCCAAATTAATAACATCAACAGAAATGATGTCTTTAGAACCATCCTATGAAGAAGGATGTGTGAATTCCCTGTCATCCAGCACTGTGTCATGTGAGAGGAATTCTCCTAGCTCCTCAGGATGTAAGACGGAGTGATTGCATGGTGTGTGTACAGTTTTATCTATTGCCTATCCTGCATGTGTACTGTGCATTTCATCTTAAAACATGTAAGGGCTTCTTTTTTTTTTAAATTTCAAACTATTTTGAGTGGTCTAAATAGGCAAAAGAAGTAAGTAGTAGGGAATATTGACAGCGAACAGAGTTAAATTGGACGTTTGAATCAAATTCTGTATTTAACTATTAGTCGACTAAATAGGAGTTAAGAAATCTGTCTGATGAGTGCGTAAGCACGAACCTTCGAGTAACAGAAACCATATGTCGTCTTGTTTGATCTCTACCTACTGTATTAAGCTCTGCACATGTGTATTGAGCACTATTCAACGGTATCGACTACTATCTCACATGAGTACAGCCAAATAATATAAATTTATTGATAATTCTGTTACCGATAACAGAGTGTTAAGCTCCGAACCCCATAAGTATAGAGAATATGCATACTGATGTTAGATCAAAAAGGGTTATGCTGTTGAAAAAAGGTCCAACCTGTTCAGAACACTTAATGTACAATTTGCTAATCTATTCTGAACTACTAGGGAAACATGACAATGTATTGCTGATGGGCTATTTTAAACAAGCACAAAGCCAAAGTAAGCGTCAAACCTTGAAGCCTTTTCCTAACCCACATATCAAGGGAGGGGTAAGGAAGGTTTCCCTTTCCTCCACCTCTCCCTCGCTTAAGTTTTCTTTGGTTCCCTTTGCACTCAAAAGTCAGTGTGTATTTTCTCCTTTCTGTTCTCTATACATTTCCTAAGGTTCTGAATGGACGGTTTGTTCAAGGGCTTGTTTAGTTGGTGATCATTTCCTTGATTCTCGTGTCCTTGATCTTTGATTTAGTGGTGAAACTGTAGGGAGAAATTAAAAGCTTTTTACTCTCAGGGGTTTAAATTAAAGAGTTAAAAATCCCTACTTAACAGTTGAACTTGTTGTAAAAGGAATTAAAAGTGTTTTACTGATGAGGCTTTCTTATTTTCCCTGTAAATAAGACTCATTGCCAAAGGAAAGGTTAATTTTGAAAGTGTGTGCTCTTGGAACCTATATGTGGCCTTTTGAGCTTGGAAAACTTCACCTAAATGTTCTCGAATTCAAGGTGACATGAGGTTTGTTATTGGTGATTGCTGTTAAGTGATAAACAATAACTGAGCTCCCGTCATCACTTGAAAATGAAGACAGTTGGTATTGTCAGTAGTTCAAGAAGTAAGGCGAACTGAAGTATTTAAACAAATACAAATCACGCATTGATCATTTTGAAGCCCTTGGTAGCTCCCCAGACATTTGAACCTTCCAAGTTTTGAAAACAAGATTTTGTAGAGCTTTTCATTTGAGCCACACACTCATGAAAATGAACTCTTCACCATTAAACACTGCCATATCAAAAGATATTAATAACACTTGTTTTCCACTGGAAATACTTGACACTTGCAGTTCAAATTTCCCACCGCAGCCAGGCAAGGTTCAAATTATCCATTCCCCAGATACTGAAAATGCTCAAATGCCTGTGGGTTGTCCAGGGGGTGGGAATGCACAAGTTTCAAATTGATTGGCATATTAGTATACACTATGAATTGTAGTTTTATGAAAATTCCATGAATTTCTTGTGAAAAACCCATGAAGATCATTTCATGGCCCATGAATACTGCAAAATGAAAATTCGAAGGTTATCTTAAGCCCTGAATTTTCCATGAATTAGGGGCATTTTTTTCGTGAGCCGTTAATTTCTATAAAGTCTAATTTCATGTTAATTTCCCTGAAAGTCACCATAATGAATTCCATAACCCATGAATTTCTTTAAAAGCCTACTTTCATGACCCATGAATTTCTTTAAATTCTACTTTCATGACCAATCAGTTCCCCAGAAAGTCATCATAATTAATTCCATGCCCCATGAATGGCAATTAAAGAGCATTTCATGGGCTAACAATACATTTGTTTCTAGTAAACAAATTTAATGGGCCATGAATATTCCCTGAAATCCATACAAGGATATATTCAACTTGTACCCCATGAATCTCATAAATAAATTCATAGGCCATTAAAAGTGATATTGATGAGTTCATCACAATCACAACTATATTTTTCACTAGTTGTTATTAAGTAATCAGACACCTGTAATTGGACAGTTACATCAACCAATCATACTAAGTGCACTCAACTAAATCCACCATTCACAGAATTGACTGCGTAGATATGGTTATTGTACATACAATGACCATAGCAACAACCACTTAATCCTAAATATGGAGGAATTTCCACAATTGCAGAATTTTATACTTTAGACAAAGTCTCTAGGAACATCAAAAGCCCTTTTCAAAGAAATCTATTTTTTTTTCTCAGAAATTGTAATGGTTTAATGACCCTTAAGTCCAAATAATTTGAAGAAATTCTCAGTACCTTGAACGTGAAAGTTTTAAGACAAGGAGTAACTTTAGAGGCTTAAAACTTTGGTTTAATGAAAGGTATGCTATACAAATATACCAAGAGACATACATGTATATGTTTATCATGATGATGTATTTTTTCAGAAAGCAGCAGTCAGTTATGTTAAATGCAAATTGTCAATCATAGATTTGCTTTCTAACCTCCGAGCTGGCCTCTTGGATTCCATGATCATAAAAGTTTTATCTTGATGGAAAATGTCTCATGTCCACAGATGTGCCAAAATCATAAAACATAAACATAATCATGGACAGGGGGAACGCTTTGGAATGTGCACATCCATTTGTGGGGGAGAATTACAACGCGCCGTAGTCGCTTCCTTCTCTTGTATAAATGTTTCTTCATTATAAAACGCACTTGACTCTGTTGGCACCACTGCTAGTTCAGCGGAAGCGAAAGATTAAGGAATCGAGATGGCTGTGTTGGAACGTGTTGCTGAACGTTTGTTACGGTCAAACTTTGTTGGTTTGGGTACTGGTACACTGTGATCATCTAGGCATCTCTTCTACTTCCTGAGGTGGTATCCATCTGTTATAATAATGATGGTAAAACACGTTTGTAATCACACTTAAAGTTGTGACTGGCTTGTGTTATTTCTCACCTTTGCCGTGACCACAACCCAAGTCAGGGTTTGGAGTCTTCGTTTCCAAGACAACTTTTGGCCCCAGGTCGTACATTTGTAGTACGTTCGATTCTTCTCGATTATTTCTACATAGAGTGAGTACACATCATTTTGTGATGTGGACCTACCATGAACGTTTTACCAAGGTTAATCCATTGTCCAACAGCAGAGAACCGGTCAGTGAAGTCAGAATCGTCACCATAATCCTACGCATTTCTCTTGAGACTGCAATCGGGCAAGCCAGCGGATTCTCTTTACAGGCCAATGGCAATTCCCAAAATATCCACGTGATCATCATGTAGTCGCAAACACGGAAAACTCCATTTGGCGCTCATGTTTGAAAGAAATTTTCATCGGTAGATAGCTCGTGCGTTATTAAAGCTATTTCTTTACTCGACTGTTTTGCTGAATATAACATCTGTAAAGATGGGTTTTACCGTTGTTTAGTGGGAAAACGAGAACAGTGTGAGTGGTTTAAATGAAAAGCAAGTCGTTGGAGCCGTGGAGTTAAAAGAAGGGACAACAGTTCTCATATCGACTGTCCGGTACAAGGGTCGAACGGCCATTTGTAATTTAAGCTACGATTTTGAAAGTTAGTGGTGAGTACAAATTGCAGTATTCGGTACGTGATGAAAACTGAGAATCGAATCGGTCACTTGCATGCCACAATCTCTTAAGCTTTCGCTTTACAATGAAATAAATCTATCAGTAAGCTAGAGGTTTCAGGATTATTTTTGTCACGTTTGACAAGCTGCGAGCCCACCAAAAAAAAAAAAACAGCTACTTAGTCTTCAGTTTAGGATAGCAGAATCAACAAAAACAAACAGTTTAACATGAAAATGCTGCTTGCCAGCTTACATTTGAATTTTAACACACAAAAGTTTTATCCAAAGAAGTGATATGTTATATAGCAAGCATACAGTTATATATACACTGTAGTATCTGCGTAATCTGCATAAAACCTGTCATAAATATCAATTTGCTATCACTTGGCAAGCTCCTATTATTTGGAATGATATTCCGTTATCGGTGCGCAATAATCTCACAGTAAGCAACAATCTCACAGTAAGCAACAATAAAAAAAATTAAGACTATATTTTTCTCTGAGTAGTTATCCTACGCATAATCTGCATCCTTATGGGACTATATTAGGTGTATTTGTTTGTGTGGTGTATGGGAATTTATTAGTCGTTTAAATATTTAAGCTAGTTGCCAAGCATTGCATCTCAATTGTAAGTTTTTTTTCTGACCTTTCCTTTCTTGGTTTAATTGTATTGTAATTATTTTAGTTAGAGCTTTTGTCTACTCATGTAAATTTTTCATGTCTTTTGCTGACCTTAGGCCATTTAAGCCCCTGGCTTTGGCTATTCTTGTGTATTTCTCTTCCAATGTGTGAATAGCAGGAATAAATAAATAAATAAAAACAAGTATTGTCTTTGGTGCAAGTAAAGTGCATTTACATTCCAAATTCATGGGGTTTCCAAGGAATTTTCATGGTGCTTGCATATTCCCAAGAACCCCATGAAAACTAACTAGCAAAATTAAGTTTCATGTGCCATGAAAATACCATGGAGAGGTCATGAAAATTCAGGGAAAATTTTCATGGTCAATGAATTCTTTACATATTCACAGGATATTTATGGGTCATGATTTGCTGCAAATCATTAAAACCTAGTGAATTTGAACACCGTGAATTTTTTTAAAATGAAATTCATGGGTTTTTCAATACCTTTCCAAAGGTCATGAATTGCCATTTTTGTGGGTATTTCATGGCTTCGAGGTCACCTTGCACAGTATTTCATGGGTCGTGAATATTAAAATTTTCACAGGTTTTTCATGATATTTTTCATGTCTTTTTTGTGGCACTGAAACCATGAAAATGCCACTGCTTTAACTTTGAAAATCCTGTGAATTTGCCATGAATAATTTCACAAGATTTTCATGGGTTTTGATTTCATAGTGATAACTGAATGGAAGACTTGTTCAGCTCTCATTTGAGACACATCTCAAGAGCATTTGTTCCATTCTAGAGATCTTACAAAGTGCAATTGCTAAAACTTTTTCAGCCAGGAGTATGGCACAATTCAATTTTTGAAATCCACAATAATTGATCAAACCAGTGTTATCATCATGACTGAACAAGTGGGCATCTCTTGGTTTTTTCCTTTACTCTGTCTAAAACAAAGGAATGGAAGGTGTCACTCTTCTGTTCTTTTGCAGGCTAGATGAGAGGTGACCATATCATCACCAAGAGAATTCTCAAAAAGAAATGTCAATTTTTCTTAATATTTGTTATGGAAGCATAGTGATAGTATCTCTTTTTATTCCACTCAGACAAATAATCATAAGTATGTACCATTAGATGTTTCTGCTTGTTTGTGATTAGTTTAAATGCATCATATTACTGAATGTACCTTGGCTAAAACTGGGGAATTATTATATCGAACAATAGCCTCCATTTGGTGCAAAAAATATATACGGATATTTATCAGCAGACATTATCTGTTTGGATCTGCAAGAGAGGGTAGCTCAAAGAAAACTGCAAGCCTCAAGGGACCCACATAATGTCCAAGGACATTGTGTTTACAATCCTACAAATATTCTTCAGCGCACAGGAAAAATGTTTACAAACAACTACCAGTTATGGCGGGGATGTTCATTTCTCATTTTCAACAAAAAAAAACATGTTGGGCCTTCTTCTGTAACAACCACATAACTCTTTCTCATCTTTAATTAAACTTTATGCAGATAATTTTCCATATTGGATGTAAGGTTTGAAAAATGAGGAATAGTGCTAGGGGTATATCCTCAGAAATCCCCCAGGTCACATGATGTATCTTAACCAATCATGTGCTAGTAAAAATATTTTGTTGGATTATTTATAAGAGGTGATGTTCCAGGAATGATACTCCCCATTTTCATTTAACCTGTAATAAGAATTGATGAAGGTCTTCCTATTACAAAGTAGACTGAAGCTGGGTGAGGATTTGAAAAGTCCTTGAGGGTAAGTCGTTTGAAAGTTTTTAGTTGTGCATGATGTTAAAATAAATCTATATTTGAATGACAATAAGCACATAAGCACATAAAACCTCCAATTGGCTCAAAATAGCCCCTTATTATCCTGCTACATCTAAACGAGTACAAATAACACCATACACGAGTACAAATATCACGCGGTATTTGTACTCGTCTGTTGTAGAGTACCGGTTAAACAGGTTTTCCCGGATCGCACAAGCGAAGAATTGGATTGTAGTTACGTAAAAAACACAAATGGCGAACAATTTGAATCATATTTCCGACGAAGAAGAGTCAGAATGGCTGAAAAATATAGATCAAAGTTCATTAGAAGAATCGAACGAAGAAAAACAGCATGGCGACCGGGAAATTTCTTCATTTAATGAAGAAAATAGAAACGGCAAAACAACAACGCGCCAATTCCGTTCCGCTTCGCATACTTCTGTCACGCACTCCCCGTAAATAAATATCCACGAAATTCGCCCGCACTGAAATAACAGTTGTGCGTGTTGGATAATAAATAACTTATTAGACATTTTGTTGTGTAGTATCGCTGAGTATTTTTACGAGTTGTGCCGTATTTTGACGAGCCCGTAGGGCGAGTCAAAATACAAATAACGAGTAAAAATACTCAGCGATACCACACAACAAAACGTCTGTTAATATATATATATTACTTGTCATGGGAAAGTCATTGTTCTTGTAAGCTCACAGTTTTCTTCAACCTCTGTACTGAGAGAACATTGTGGCTCAGAACAGGCAAATATTTTGTTAACTACTCGGTTCTGTAAAACACAAGATTCTTTATTCGCGCACACACCAATCCAAGTAATAATAAAATGTGGAGTCAAAATTCACGTGTTTTATACCTGCGGGCAATTTGCATATAATTACGGTCACACTACAATATACACTAATTAGCAACGATTCTGTTGTGATAAATCTAAATGGCGGCGTGAATTGCTGATTATGCAACATATTTAGGCATGTTTTTTTTATGTGTATATTCATTCAAATTAAATATTTACCAGATAAATTATGCTTGAAACACGACGAAGGCATACCAGTTGGTTTTGTTTATGTATATTTTTAGATGGTCCTCAGTTATAACTATGAAACAAATCCAGTAATGAAAGGCCGAAGTTGCACAGTATGTCTAATATACAGACAAGGATTGGAACAGTCTATAGATAGCTGTCTGTGTTAAGTATATTTTCACTGAATATTTGGTTAAAATCGAATTTCGTCATGATGAATGGTTAAAAAACTTACTCCCTGAACAGCTCAACCCATTCAAAATCTATGCTGAAATAGACCAATGAAATGCAAGTTAAAGTGTTGAATTAAAAACTTACAACAACATCTTTATTCTTTTTAATCTTCATTAACACATAATTTGGACTGCCCTGCAAATAGCCACACTGATCTAGGCGGGCTGGTGAAATATTATGATACTATTATTCTTTCAATTAGCATATACCACACAGAGCACTGGTTGGCCAGTTCAGAAGTGATTAGCTTGCCCTATTCACAAACAAGTGGCTGAAGAGAAAAAAGTGCATCTCAAGAGTTAAGTTTCCAGACTCTCTTTTAATATATCGACACAACTGAAACATTTTTTTTTTGTTTTTGCGTTGTATTGACAAAAAATTATTCACCTCATTTTTGGTGAAAGTGGGGAATATTTCAACTTTTGTAATTATTAATAATCACTGAGTAATGATATTTTTAAAAATTAAAAATTATTTTTTTCATGAGTTATAAATAACGAATTATCTTTTTACTATACCCTGTGTTTTTTCTTTATCATTATTACTTAAAGGTTAAAGTTTACACCTGATATTCTGATTCTCTTAAAACATGAAATTGTGGTAATGAGGGGATTATTTATTGACAGTGACACTTTCTGCTCATTTCTCCAAACAGGGGAAAAAGTTCCATGGCTATCGTCAATTCTGAACTTTGGAATTTCCATGTCTTTTAGGGGGACAATACAACACGACACAACTGAACTTGCTTCAACCGTTTGTAGAAGATTGCGTTATGACTGCATTGAAATGGATGAGGTCATGCAACAGCAATGGCTAGTCACGCAATTTTAAGAAGTATGGGAACTAATGTTACGGTTTGGTTATGTTTTAAAAGTAATTAGATATTCCGGATAGCACTGCGCGTCACGAAATACAACAAATACGGTTGGATTTTCCGTGTTGTCCACTACAGAATCAAACAGAACTTCTGGTTCATGGCAGGGTATAGCTGGAGGTACCAGTAACCCTCTCTGACCCAGGGTATAGAAACCCACAACGACTCGAGCCAGATACATGTGTCTCAGTCCGTTGCTATCTGGGGCAGTGTACCCCTTGGAATAGGAAGCTCTAGACGCGAAGTACACCCCATTACCAAAGACCGCTCCTGAAACAAAACAACAAAAATAAAATGTAAAACCGGTTTACTCTGACCACTAAGGATTAAAATCTCCAATCTAGCGCTAGTTCACGCCAGCCGACCAGTTTCTCGCGCCTAACTGGAATAATGAGATAAAATGTGAGTAATACGAAACAAGAAATGTCGATGTGATAGAAAATGTCCTGTTTTAGAAGGGGGAGTCCTGGGGAGGAAGTTTTGTCAGAACTCTTAGGAAGGATAGGAAGTTCTCGGAGTCTTCATCGCAGATGTGGTCGGGTCCACTCTGAATAATTTTGGAATCCACTCAAGATCAAGAAGTCTTGCCTTTTGAGAATATAAGGGAGATATGGTGAACAAACTAACCATGTGTCGTTCCAGCAAAGGTTCTATTAAATCCATGCCTGTTAATGGCGCTCACGTTCGATCCTTTAGTCCCGTGAAAAAGTTGCAACTCGTTCCTCACAATTCGACCGGATCGACTGTTTTTCTGCTCAACATCCTGCTTGTAAGTAATGTACTGCGTGTAAAGACATGGATTCTGGACACGATCGATGCGGACTATTGTGCCAGCACCACCGGTGCTGTAAAACATGTTGGCGACGCTTTGGTACTCCATCTCCGGCAAAGGAAACATGGTGACCGGGACTGGTTTTCCGTCTGCGAAGTACGGTTGTGTTGACCAAGAATCTGGAGTGACAACACCTAAAAAAGAAATGGATGCTATGGTTAACAAATAGATGCCATGTTGCCGTGCGTCAATTCAGTAATACATCACATACGACGTAAAAATGTGGTAAGAACAAGGAAGTGACGCGCAAGGCGTGGTCGCATGTGCCACGGATAGTCTTACCTCGTTTTGACGTCTTTTGTGATCTATTACTGTACAGACCCACGGCAACATGAAAACAATTTGTTTGATATGATAAATTATAACATAACCTGAGTAAGGCGCGCGCCCTGATTGGTCAATTCAGAGTCCAACATTTGCCCATGGGTGTACGCTGCTCGCGTGAGCAAATGCAAAAAATAGTTTCCGCGCGCTTGTGATTTTCTGGTCCGTATGGTTTCAGTGTTAAATAAAAGGGAACTCTTTTGCTACAATGTACCAATGTTATGTTATAAAACAAATGGTAAACAACACAGCGAACACTATTGAGTTATGGTTGCACTTGGGAGGTTTGCTAGGCACTCAAGAAGTTAGAGACGCTCTCGGCTACCGCCTCGTGCGACTCTCGTGCATCTTTTGTGTTTAGCAGCAACCCTCCCGCGTGCGTCCATAACTCAATAGTGTACGCTGCGATGTTTACCATTTGTTAAAAAGCAAAATCTTGTCGGTGGTGACATCATCTACGCGTTTGTCCTCTGATAAATCATAAGTAAGAACCAATCAAAATGCGTTGCGTGACGAGACCAAAAGGGAAAAAACTTGTCAAAGAGACTTCCTCAAACTCACAACATAAAGCATCTTAAGCACGAAAGCGTACCAGTTTCTGTGTGTAACTTGCGACTTAACCGGAGGGGTGGATATTTCATGTCACTCGACACAACGGTCATAGACTTAAAGTCCACTTTGTAAGTGTTATTACTCATACAGAATGCAACTCCATCTTGTTTCTTAGTCCAAGCCTCTTCAATCGTTGAGCTGACTTTCTCGTTGACAGCAATCTCCCGGTCAAGAATAACATAGTGCCACTGCACGTATTGCGCCATCAATTTACGCTTTTCAAGTTCTTGCTGATTTTCAATGAGCCGATCGATTTTCTGCCGAATGCAACTCACAACCAAACAAACATCGTCCCAATTCCCGCTTACAACAATAGTACTGTTGTGCTCATCTTTCTTAAGGTCCGTGTCATGTTTTGATCCCAAATGTCGAAGCCATGCCCAGCAGCTTTGAATCAAACGAGGCACCTCTTGGTGAGTTACTTTTTGGACTGTGCAATATTTCACAAACTTCCCACGTAAACTGTTCATGACAGTGGTAACACACTTCTTGTCTTTGCCATACACTCGAAACTCCGCCGTCGCAATCGGCGGAGTGTTTCCGTACCCTTCATGAAATGCGACATCCAGAGGAGTCATCGCAGTTATGCAGTCTTCCTCCTTAGGGGGCATAGAAAGTGGGAAAAAGCCCTCAAGGGCTTGAATGGGGGCGAATTCATTTTTCATCTCATCGTGAAACGTCGAAAACAGACTTTCGTTGAATAGGACAATTCTTATCTCTCTGATTGTCCGTGGAGGCGACTCAAGAAAGCTCAGAATTGCCCTTGTAAGAACCCGGGCTGAGTTTGTTGGTGACAGTCCCATGGCCCCCACGCCTATCGCTGGCAGAACTATAGAACCCATTCCTCTTTCATCTGCGAACTTAAGGCCCATTTTCACACCCATCTGAAGGTCCAGGATCTGCGGAGAACCTGGGTAAGCGATGACATGTATTAGATTCTTACAAGGGAGATCCCCAGCTCCTGTCATTACTATGTTGCCGGGGAGCTGCGCTCCATCTCTGGAAATGATACGCTTGCACTCTTTACGGACAGACGGACCTGCAGTGCGGTCTATATCTTTGTTCAACTGACCACCTTTCTTCAGCTCCAGTGTATTGGTATTCATGATCAACAATGAGTCAGTCATTTCTTTCGTCACATCACCCATGCACACGCATATCTGTGTGTTCTTTATCCATGTGCTCCGACTGGAATCTTCTGACAGTTCATGGAAGGTTCGTTTCCAGCTCCTCTCGCGCCAAACATTCTCGTCCACAACTTCGGGCGAACCCATCTGTAAAATAAGTACCGTCGTTAGAAAAAAATCTTCCATTGTTCAACAGCTGTTTTAGTACCGGGTTGTCGCGACATTCGCATTCGCCTACAAAACAGCGTGGGTGATGTAGTCACCTAGTGGTAAGCGTTATGCACAACGGGTCTGGGGTCCGTTTCTCGAAAGTCCCGGTAACTTAACGGGTCCGAAGCCATGTTTTAAAATCAATATTTAAAGAATAGCAAAGCAATTTCTGGCACCCAAACCAGTCCTTTTTGTTTCTTTAATTGATAGCTTTACTGTATCATTTTCAAAATTTTGAAATCCCCAGAAGCTGTTAGGCGCTCAATCTTGAGTCCCCTGTCAAAATATCGCTCAGTGTAAAGTAATTAATGACAACGGTTAAATAAGAAAGAAAGGCGACTAATGCGGATTCTCATGGACTACTTCGAAAATAATTTGACTGGATCTGATTTTTTCTAAGATGTGTGAAACAGTTGACGGGACACTTTACGTCTAAAATTAAGTTACTTACTCATTTTTGCGCTCTTGGTAGTGATTCCTCGCTAGTTTTCTAAACTTCCTCGAGTCGACAGTCTTCGAATGTAAGGAATTCTCCTCGGCAAGCACGATCGACGTGTTTCTCCTGGTATATCCCTTGAGGGAGAAATAACACACAAGATTAATCTGTTTTCATCATAACACGACACGACACGACCATGCAAATCACCTACGCGTAAGCAAATTAAATTGCATTACATCGACGAGTCATCACGCAAGAATCTTGACACCTACGAATCCGAAAAACTACAGTGTCGCTCACGTTTTGTTACGATGGTTACATTTAGCTAAAGAACCTACGCGAAACTTCACTGTCCCTCATGCAAGGCAATAAACTTCATCTTAGCACAACGAAGATTCGTCACAGAGCTTCGCAGAGCGTTTTAAAAAGTGTTAACCTATTGCGACCTCCCATTCATTGTTCAAACGGAGCGGAAGTTGCTTCGACCAGTCAGGATTCTCGTTTTAAAGAGTGGGTCGATAGTGGGCCGACCAATAAACGTGAAGTGTTTTCACTTAGGGTAATTGTGATAATCGTTCTTACATAATGATCATGCTGGAACATGCTTTCAAGCTCTTTTGAAGTAGCTTTGCACAGCTTAAAAGATCTATTTTCATCTATGATTTCCTCCAAATGCGCTGACCATGCCGAGGTGGACAGTTTACAAGTTCCGCAAAATTTACCGGATTAACTCAGAACGCAAGGTATTTTAGCGATAGTAAGCCTAAATATGGAAAAGTTAGACTAGACATGAATAAGAATAAATAACGGAATTCGTTCAGTGTTATTGCTCTTCTGGTTAACAGAGATTCCAAGGAGGAAAACTTGAAAAAGCGTGTTTGTCACGAAGATTGAAGTGTTGCGTGACTTTCAGTAATGTGATGACGAAGTTTTGGGTAACTGGGAAATTTAGAGGGGAAGATCCAAGGTTTGAGATTCCGGAGGAAAGGACACTTGATCTCACCGTCCACCCATGATACCATTTCATCAGATAAGCATAAATTTGGTTTAAAGAAGAACCACCCACACACTTGAATTGATGCCATGAACCATTTTGGAGTTGACGGTTTCGTCGTTTAAATACTCCCACATTGATCGCGATGACTGTGCATGCTGCAAGACGTGGGTTTTGATGTTTGATGTTTCCACGATGCAGTTCATCAAGAAAATATGAATAATATGTTTAATTAGAGTAACGACAACTTACCTGAGTTAATCCGAGAAATATTTATAGAGGGTTTAGTCATCGAAGACTACTGAGAGCATGACAGTGCAAATTATTAACATGTTTCGTTATTTGCGATGAATTACCTATTCAGGCGCAAATAAGCAATTCCTGAACACTTCTTCAGATCATCACGAACATCAAGTGTACGTACAAGAAACGCCAGTGATTAGCGTGTAATAAAAATCAGTTTAAACAGAAACAGGAATAATTAACGAGGCCACTGCTGACAGAATGATTCCTACCTGTCAGTTTAGTGCCATTAAGCATCGACTGAGAAAAACGATTGACTTGAATGGGACTGGTCCGAAAAGCTACCCGCGACGTGATGTACTAAAGATTTTGCGAACACTATACTAATATTTTTCATATGACGCTCACATTAGGAAGAATTGTCATATTTTTTTAAGATAAAGACTACGTCATTCTCTTATTTGAAAATCATATTTCGGATTGATATATTCTATCTTTGCATTATGAATAATACTGCTACATCGCAAAATATTTTAGTTCTCCAGTTCGGAAGGCTTTTTTTTTTTAATCTGTTATTTATGTTGCTTATTCTCGGCGGAGATAGAATTGTTACGTGCCTACGCAACATAAAAACAAGACTTAATAACAAATGATAACAAAAAAAACATCGTCATTCTGCTAAACAAGCGCCGTCAAACTGCGAAGTACCTCTCGCCTGCAACCGCGGTTGCAACTGCTTTATCAACTGAAACATCAATACTGTACTTCATTTCCCAGGAGCTGGAACAATTAAATATATTGCTTCCTCGTTTTTTAATGCCTTCGAACTGGCCTTTGATGAAAAGCAAGTCCGAATTCCTTTCCGATAACTCACAGTTATGTTAACTTAACTTTTGAGGGCTGATTCAATCGATGAGTCATTGGAAGCCCTGCAAGATCAATGTGCGGGCTTAAAAGGTTTTTGTTTTTTTGTTGTTGTTTTTTTTTTTAACGGGATAAAAATCTCAATTAAGCAATTAATAATCCTCCCGAAAAAGCTGTTCTATATTCCCACCCTCCATTTCCTTAAACAAATCGCCCCGAGAATGATGTTTAAAAAAAAAAATAAAACAATCCTCTACACCAGAAGAGCTATACTTAACCAGAACTAGTTAAGGTGGCTCGTACCGGTTTCATCTTTTTGATGGTTTGTAACTTTGAAAGAATACAACAGAAAGACTGACAAAGGCCAGTTGAACACTTTTACGGGGTTGAATTACATAATCATTGGTTATCCAAAAATAAGTGTCATTTCGTCACTAGCAGTTTCCATGGCAACGCTTTCATAGGCTTATTCAGACGCATTTTTTAGCTTGTGGCTTAAATAATTCGAAAACTAACCCGGTGACCCCCTGATTTTTTTCAGTGATTGCTTTTGGCACTTGAAAAGGAAAATGCACAAAGATTTTTAAAAAATTCTACGGAGCGGAATTTCAGAAAATCTACAAAAAGGGCAATTTTCACACATCGCAAATTTCCTTCCGTAGAATTTTCTAGTTTTTTTTCTGATGATTCCTTTCGACGTTATTATCATATTGGAACAATAAAAAGAAGGGGTCACCGGACTTGTTTTCATGCAATAGCTTTCGTGAGTTTAGCAATTTCCACGCGCGTTCTCGCGCATTTAAAAATCTGGATTCTATAAGATCGACATTTGCTCATGATCTGTTTTAGCTACCGCTGACAATTGCGTGTGCTCGCGCGAGCACCTACGATCTGATGTTTACAGACGTTTACTGCTAAGAAAATCATTAAACAGCCGTCAAAGACAGCCTCCCGAGCTCATCTTAAAAATCCTACACATGACTTCTGGCTATATCATATTATTTTCCTTGAAGTTTCAAAGTCTTCTTCCACTTCAGGTAGATTATCCTTCACTTGAGTTCTTCTTTTTTCGCCGTCGCAAGATTTCATATCGGTTGAATATTTCTTTTAAATGTGAAGTGAAGCAACCTTTACTTCTCCGAAAATCGTCTTCGTTATCTTAGTTTCTATCTCCTGCATTCACAGTGGCCGCTCAACACATCAAATACAAGCTCTTAGGTAAACTTCTCACAAAAGTAGAAAAAATTCCACGCGCCGCCATCTTTGTTTTGAATTTTCATCTTTTGATCTCGCGCTTCTTTCGCACGTTTCTCTCGCGCGCGTCACGCAAGAGTGACCTGTTCCCCGCGCGAGGAAACTGGTACGAGCCACCTTAATTTCGCGCTTCTTTCGCACGTTTCTCTCGCGCGTGACGCAAGAGTTATCTGTTCCCCGTGCGAGGAAACTAGTACGAGCCGCCTTAATCTCGCGCTTCTTTCGCACGTTTCTCTCGCGCGTGATGAAAGAATGACCTGTTCCCCGCCCGAGGAAACTAGTACCAGCCACCTTAAAAACAACTTTGCCTCTGATTCAAAATTCAAAGATCTGTTTCCCACTATAACCAGTCTCTTAAGGAGGGATACATCCCATCACTTCTAAAGTCTTCCATCGTCACCCTAATCCCAAAGGTAAACCCACCAAGAGAAATAAAGAGCGATCTCCGCCCGATATCGCTCACGTGTAC